ATCTGGACGGAACGGCTTCAATGTAGTCCTGTCTCTTATACACATCTTGTTGTGTATAAGAGACAGATTCTTTATAGTCCACATGAGCCAACTGTGTACACTGGGCCTACGGTTTATTTATTCATTTCACTTTATTTCATATTCATATACATATTAAAAACAAGTTACAGATCGTGGCCAAAGGCCAAATTGGCAGCAACTTTTACTGCTGCTGCTGCTTCTGCTGCTGCTGCTGCTACTACTGCTGCTGCTGCTACTACTATTGCTGCTGCTGCTGCTACTGCTACTACTACTGCTACTGTTACTGCTACTACTACTACTACTACTACTACTACTACTACTACTACTACTGCTACTCTACTGCTACTGTTACTGCTACTACTACTACTGCTGCTACTACTACTACTACTACTACTACTACTACTACTACTACTACTACTACTAATAATAATAATAATAATAATAATAATAATAATAATAATAATAATAATAATAATAATAATAATAATAATAATAATAATAATAATAATAATAATAATAATACTCCTGCTAACTCCCGCTATTACCACTACTTATTCTACTGTAGGCCTACTACACTTTTTTTTCATAATAGCCAGAACAATTTTTTTCCAGGCTCAGTGTTCATTTTTCTTTGCTAATTACAGGCTCAAATTAATATTCTTTATTTCGTACTTATTTCACAATTTTCAAGATAGAAAATCATTATTGTACAGCAGATATCTGTACTGTATTATGGTGTAGAGGGTATTAGATAGTAATAATAATAGTAATATGCTTGATTTATTGGTTTCTATATTTTTTATTTAAACCTCATTTGATTTTTATTTAAACTTCATTTGAAATTTTACCTCAGCCTCAATTTGTTCTTATTTCTAAGCAATTTTAGCCTTGGTGCTCTTATAAAAAGTGTACTACGAATAATACTAGTAGAAAATCCCCCTTCGGCAAGCATGGACTATAATAATAATAATAATAATAATAATAATAATAATAATAATAATAATAATAATAATAATAATAATAATAATAATAATAATTATCATCAAGGGTACTAATATAGGGGCGTTCACTTTCCTATATAGACCACACTTTGCCCATGCTTAGCCTATTGTAAAATGTGTCTATTGATTCACCTTTTTAATTTAAACTAACAAAATAATAATAATAATAATAATAATAATAATAATAATAATAATAATAATAATAATAATAATAATAATAATAACGATTTTTAAAGCTATGCCATGAAAGCAGATTTGTTACCATCCCAATAAAATCTTTCGTAACCCCAATGGTTTAATCGAGGGTCGTGATGTAACGAAGCCATGCAATCTGTTGGAAAAATGCTGGAGCCATCAGTGGTTTAATGCTACATTTTGATGGATTTAACAAGCAAATTGAGTTGCATCTGAACGTCGTTATCAGAAAACGTATAAACACTGATTGAGTCACACAATTGTTTTGTTTGGCAATACACTCTCATTCAGATTATATAAAAAGGTCAATGAATTTAATAGATAGATGAACTCGGTATTTTCAATTATAGTTTAATGGAGAAATTATTTATTAGGGCCTAATATTGTCAAGAATTGCTATAAAACGACTAACTACACAATGGCCAGCATTAGTAAGTTCAAAACTGTAACAAAATAATTAATAACTGCCTTTTCAGTGGCTGCACTAAAGATTGACCATTATTTAATACACAAAGGCCTTTGCCTCTGCAGTATCTATGGTTAGTATGAGAAATGCTCAAGCTACTTCGCTACTTTAATAACGTAATTTAATGTATTTCTTTATTTATAATGACGGGCAACATTCTTTGTCTAATCAATAGGCCTATTATTCTTCATGAATGATCATAGTACAATTTGACAGGAACCGGGGTCGGTAGGGATTTTTTGGCCTAAGTCTACGGATTATTTTTAAATTTCTCTCATTCCCACTATTTACCTGTTTTGGTTTATTTTTTCTAGGAGCCTAAAAATTTACAAGCTTCGCTTTCTTTTTTAGGCTCCTTCACTTGATTAGTTACACATTATTATTCTTAGTATATCAGTATGTTATGATTTGTTTATTTGTATGTTGGATTATCATGTGGAACAAATGAAGAAAGTAAATAGCAAATACACTTTAACACTTGAAAGAGACAATCATAAACTTTTTTGGGACCTCCTCCTTCTCTTCTTCCATTAATGGACGAACTTCAATGCTAAAGGCAGTGTCCATTTAGCCCAAAATTATTTACGCCCCGTGCACAAAACGTTTTGATGTGTGGCCTTTACTTTTTAATATATTAATTCTTAATTTAGAAAACTTTACTTTTTAATGATTAAGTTTTTGTATTATATTTTCTGTAATCCAGGATGGGACCCTTTCATGTATTATCCCCCGGGTCAGGGAAGCCTAATACTCATCAAGGGTACTAATATAGGGGCGTTCACTTTCCTATATAGACCACACTTTGCCCATGCTTAGCCTATTGTAAAATGTGTCTATTGATTCACCTTTCTAATTTAAACTAACAAAACTACTACCTAGGACATTAATCGATACCCGGTCGTATAAAAAATGAGTGCCGATTTTCTAGATTGTTGGTTAGTTGAGCTTGATGGCAAAATCATTTTTTGGACAAATGAATTTTATGGACTGAAGCTGTTTTAGTAGTGACATAAATCATGTTTTGGCAAGTTTTGGGCCAAGGACAATTGGGATATCTACAACCTAAGCTGCAGCTCACTACACATCCATCCACACACCCACACACACACACACAAATATGTTTTAGGCCTCGTTAGTTTTTAAGGGTCTGTAGTTTAACAATAATTAATCAATCAATCCATTCATCCAATCATTCTATCGATCGATTGATTAACTGATCGTGACGCCATCTGATTCACTAAATAACGGTAGCCACTGCCAACCAACCAACGCAAACCAACCAGCCACTGCCAACCAATCAGCCCATGCTAACCAACTAGCAACTGCCAATCATATATACATTTATCCATCCATCTATTCAACCATGGAGGTACAAAATGATCCAACCAACCACAACCAACTAAACCGACGAATCCAGCGAACCAATCTGTAAAATAACCAACAAATCAATCAATCAATCAATCAATCAATCAATCAATCAATCAATCAATCAATCAATCAATCAATCAATCAATTAATCAATCAATCAATCGATTTATAAGAGGGAAAGGCCTAATAGTAAAATGAAACGCAATAAAGACAAATTCATCTATTCAGAACCTGTTCACGGAAATCGGCTTAAACAATATTACACAAGTTGTTGTAAAACCGATATCCGGTCGTTTATGATAACTCTGTATGATCTCATATCTGCGACTGTAAATAAAGGTATTTGATAAAACACGTGACTAATCCTGGAGTAGCAAAACTACTACAGTATATAAATGACCTTAGATCA